CTGGGTATGAGTTAATGTGTGTGTGTGTGTGTGTGTGTGTGAAGACTGTTTCTATTATTCAAGACTCAATGCAGCTCCGAGACACGAGTGGAAAGGGCCGTTTGGAGCCTTATGTCAACATTTGCCGGGTGCTGAATCGTGATATGTGTTTCAGAGATTGTGTTTTCCTTGGAGGTCGCTCATGTGTCGAAGGACTGAAGTTCTTGGCAGATTGAAGATGATTCTCTCCTGGTTGAATGATGAACTACTGTGAAGCACACTTGGGTGGAAAGGAAAACTGAAGCTTTGGTTTATACTGTAGTGAAACTCGTGACTTAAGCAAACCTAACGGAGGGACTTCGTTTTTTAGGCTGTTCCACAAACATGGGTCTTATGTGATTTAAACAGTTAAGGTTTGCACTGAATGGCTTTAAAACACAGGCCTGTGACTTCAAGAACAAATAACTGAGACATTTAAAAAGGTGAATTGTGTAAGACATGCCCATCATTTTAATTAAAAACCTTCAAAAGATTTTACTGAGTTTATTTTATACCGTTTTGGAAATGAAACCTGACCAAGTAAGACCATTAATCCTTTTTATTGAATATGCAAGTCGTTTATTTTTTCATTTGCCTTTTATCTGTGCCTTGCTCATGTGACGCTGTTAATTCCCCAACTTTGGGACGAATACAAGGTTCTCATTCTGATTCATTCTGATCTAAAGCAATAAGATGTCCATGGTACCTTAGTCACACCTTATCTAAACTAGTTTGAGGAACACATCTTCCTAAAAATAAGCTGAATAACCTTTAATATGCGTGCTGTAACTGGTAATCTCCCTTTATGAAATTGAAAACTGTTCCCCTTTCAATTTAACACTTTCACTTTAACCCTTTCACTTTTACAACTTCACTTTCCCTTTAATAACACTTTTACTTTCACTTTAACACTTTTACTTTCTTGTGTTACTAGCAGATTCACTTTGTTTTCACNCCTTGCTCATGTGACGCTGTTAATTCCCCAACTGTGGGACGAATACAAGGTTCTGATTCTGATTCATTCTGATCTAAAGCAATAAGATGTCCATGGTACCTTAGTCACACCTTATCTAAACTAGTTTGAGGAACACATCTTCCTAAAAATAAGCTGAATAACCTTTAATATGCGTGCTGTAACTGGTAATCTCCCTTTATGAAATTGAAAACTGTTCCCCTTTCACTTTAACCCTTTCACTTTTACAACTTCACTTTCCCTTTAATAACACTTTTACTTTCACTTTAACACTTTCACTTTAACCCTTTCACTTTTACAACTTCACTTTCCCTTTAATAACACTTTTACTTTCACTTTAACACTTTCACTTTAACCCTTTCACTTTTACAACTTCACTTTCCCTTTAATAACACTTTTACTTTCACTTTAACACTTTTACTTTTACTTTCTTGTGTTACTAGCAGATTCACTTTGTTTTCAAACCCTAGCTCAAGCCAACAAAGGGAATCACATGATAACACAATCTATTTGAACATTTCTCCCGACAGCTCTGTACACTACTGCCCATATGCACATGATCCACAGAGAGGAGGAAGGAGAAACACACAGCCTCATATTGGAAGTCTGTTTTCCACTCTGAAGCTGTTCAACAGTTAGCTAACCCTGGAGCTAGAGTATACCTCAAACTGAACGATGATCCCGTAGGTGTGCGCCGGCTCTCTCCACTTCAGGATGATCTTCTCCTCATAGGCACTGCCCTGAATGGACTCCAGAGGAATAGCCCCTGGCACTGTGGAACAAATAATCAGAGACGTTTCTTAAAACTGGTGACAGAGTAGAATTGTTCAGGGTGTAGAAGAAGCAAACACAGTAGGACCCTTGTGAATTCATATTATGGATATTTTTTTCATCTTCTGTGCATAATTTTCAAGGTAAGTCAAATGTTTGAAAAAACAAGTTCATACTTTGCAGCTTCAGTGTTTTCTTTTATGATTTAAACAGCCCAGCAGTCCGTGTTGATGTGCCTAAAACAATCAATACAATAGCTCTTCAAGGACCTAGTACACAAATGGCCGTGAGCCAAAGTCAAACACAGCTTAATAGGACTTTGTGAGATTTATCGCGTCATTGTCACTCAAAACTCTCTCCCTGACATGTTTAACAGCAAAACATTTTCCTACAGCTGGAAATCTGTTGCAAACAAAGATGAACGAGTAACCTCTGGGGAATAGTAGGAATTGTAATCTTTCTGCTGTTTACTCGAGCTGGAATATACTGCCAAAGAAATGTGGTCCTTTAACCCCTCATGTGAATTGCTTTCATTCTGTAAGTGAAACAGAATGATGGGGAGATGTCTCGTTTTTTTGGGGGGGGGTTTCACGATTTGTCTGTACTGTTGTTCCCATGCACACAACACACACACACACTAGGGCTGAACGATTAATCGATTTTAAATCGAAATTTTAAATATTGCAATTATCAAATCGCAAAGCCTGCGATTCTTTTTTACATTTTTATATATATTTTTTTGTTCTTCTTGTGAGTGTCATCCACACCAATCAGAAGTGCAGTGCTCCACATGTACCAGCCATTGTTAACCAATCAGAAGTGCAGTGCTCCACATGTACCAGCCATTGTTAACCAATCAAAAGTGGCCCATGATAGAAGGTGTTTTTGAAAGTGCCTGCCCTTTCCAAATGGCTTCCAGTGGAGCTTTCCTCGATGCTTTGGTGAAACCAACCATCTGAGTCAGGTTAGTAATGCTCCATCACATGTTTCTATTACAGGGTGAATCTTAAACTGAAGCTTGACTTTAAAGCAACCCAATGGAAGTTTCATGTAAGTTTAGTTCTTTCACTCGTAGCTCGGAGATATGGCCGCATTTTACAATAAATTTCCGTTGGGTCGCTTAAAAACAAATATTGCAAATCGCAATCTCACACACACACACACACACACACACACACACACACACACACACACACACACACACACACACACACACACACACACACACACCTTGGAGGCGTGGATAATCACAAGGATTTATTGAATGGTGGTGGTCGCTCCTCACTCTATCAAGTCCTTCTTTATAGGCCCCGTGATAAATGAGACTGCCATGATGGGTGAGGATGAGGGGCGGAGGGGCCTGCAACGTGCTGGATCGAATTGAAACCACAGAATGAGCCCCGGTGCTGGGCTGCCACCTTGTCTGATGAACCCCCTGAAGCTGTAGGGGTGGAGATGAATGGCCGAACGCCTTCCTTCTCACAGCACTGAATAGAAAGGGAGAGC